CACTCATTTATTTATCCCTTCATTCATTCTTTTATCCATTTTTAGAGCCAGCCATTGATTCTTTTATCTTTTCTTAGAGCCAGCTGTTCTTTCCTTTAATAGATATTTCTTGCTAGGTAGTCTAGGTTACTGAGGACACAACAGTGAACAAAACACACAGTGGTCTCTGTGGTGGGCCCAGGAGTAGAGGGAATACAGTGACCCATTTGCCATCCCCGATCTAGAAGTCTTTCTATGTATTATTCATTAACATCAGTGAGGATGCACCTCTTTGTTTCTATTTCAGAATTAATTGACCAGTCCGCATAGAACACATTTCTCATTAAGTTATTTTTTTCCTTTTCGTCAGAATTAAGTGCAGAATAGCAAGATTTTAACTATTCGGATGCCTGTTGAGCATCTAACATTTCCTACTGTTAATATTGTGGCTCCTGTTGGACACATACCAAGTGTTTCCTTCTTCATTGCTTTATCTTCCTTGAGAGATTAAATTTTCATTAAAGTTATCAGTGTTGTGTTCTGCAGCAAATAACAGAGAACCCAGGTACTTGAGAAAGTAAGGGGTTCCTCAGGTCACAGAAAGTCCAGAGGTAGATAGTCTTGGTACAGTACATTGGTCAGCAGCACTCTTAGGAACCAGGACCTCTTCTGTCATTCTGTTCCATTATTCTTACCATATGGCCCATTTGGCCTAAAGATGGCTTGTACTTCTCTAAATATTATGTCTGAATTGTGGTCCCTGACCCCCAAAAGAAGGCAGCAACAGGCTTATGCTTACATCTCATTGACCAAATGATATTAAATGCCGAGTTAGGTGTTGAGTTCCTTATCCATCTCTACCATTCCAAAAACTATTGTACAGATATCTTCAATACAAATATTTTATCAAATTTTATAATAACATTGTGCCCAGAAGATACTAAGTATTGGCCTTCAACCAAGGAGAGGATTATTTGAAGGTATATCACACATATTTACTTCTGTTTCATTTCTGAAAGTAGTGACTAAGAGTCAGCTGGATGTTGACCTGAAGAAACATGCCTTATGTACACTTTTTATCTATTTCTGTAAATATTGGAACAGATAGCAAATATCTTCTGGCCAAGGGGTCTACTGAGTCAGGGCTATTTCTCAGAAAGCCAGGGTGAAGACAGCTACAGAGAAGAAGACAGTGGAGCAGTAGTATTGAGTGGTAGATAATTTGGAGGCTAATGGGAAAATGGAAATTATTGGTCTGTTCCTCTTTTATGTGACAAGTCTATATTTATCATTTTCTACTAATAATGTCCCAAGGGTACAAGAAACATTATTGAAGTACAATCATAGCTCACCAACCAGTGGACACTTTCCTAATCTGGCCTTCTCCAGTAGATATTTATTTATACTAACACATGGATGTATGATTTCTATCTCTGTTACCTGCCTCTGCTACCACCTCTGCTTCCATGTGCCAGGTCATGTGCCTTTAATTCTTTTCTAATCTTATATTAGCTAAGACTTAACAATCTCACTAGAAGTGAAATTGTTTTACCACCCCGGACCCCTTTCTTCACTGCAACTATGCGTATAACTATCATGAGAACTAGTGTTTGTATAGTGCATATGCACATGTCGTTACATTGGATCCTCAAGACAACCCAGTAAGGAGGGTGCAGGTAAAAGAATCAGGATTCAGATATTAAATAACTTGCTTCAGTTTACTTGGTAGGGTGATGGTACAACCAGAACTTGAATCCAAGTTTCTTTATGCTAATTCCCATGCTTTTTTCTACCATCCCATGTTGCTTCTGTTTTCCACTTTTAACCCCATGAAATTGAAGTTTCTTACACCAATGCAATAAATGGACATCTGCTCCAGGTATACTTTTCTTTCACCAAATTTGATACATCTAATTTAATAAACATGCATATGGTATATTAGATGGTGAGTTACTCAAGAGCAGGGATTATGCCTGGCAAATCTTATGACATCTGCCATTTGGGAGCTAAAATGTCATAGCTGATTAAAATGAGAGAGACGGAGAGCAAGTGAACTGCTGGTTCTCCAGTGACTTTCTTCTTTATTTTACACCCTCATAGCATGGGAAGCATGAATCCTCATGGGTTGAAGAGTTGTTGAAGTTGCACAGAGCTCGGATCACGGATGTTGAACATATCACTGGACTCAGCTTCTATCAAGAAAGAAAAGAGCCAATTTCAGACATTTTAAAATTGAAAACACACTTGCCAACCTTTAACCAAGAAGACTGATAATTTTTTTATTCCAAAACACACTATAAATCTTTTTGAAAGAACCTTCTATTTTATACAGTCCTCTTATTCATACTATTGCATTGTTTGGAAAGTGTCGCCCAGAGTTAGAACTGGGGATCCTCTGTGACATGTGACCATCTCAGGGAAACTGGTGGCCTCAGCAGAGCAATAGGAAAGTGTTCCTGTTGAATATCGCACATTGTTCAAATGTGTAAGAATTGTTCAAATTCAGGAATAAAGACAGACCAAACCTAAAACTGCTCTTCTACTTCTCTTAAGGGCAGAAATAACCTGTGGACACCAGATATTTGAACCTTATTATCATCGATAAACTTTTATGGAGCCGGCAAACACTAGACTAATGAATAGGATTGGAATAATCCATGTTACACTAGTTTCTTCACAAGAATTTAAAAGTAATTCTTGATTTTTTTAGAAGCGATTTTTGAATTTCATGTATATTAGTTTTAATTTTAAAAAAAGTTAATAGAAACAAAATGTTTCTGAAGTCTTCAAAAGCCAAAATATGTAATCTTGTATTATTATTTTCTCGTGATGGCTTTTTTAGATTCAATGACTCTAACAAGTTAAACTTTGAGGGAAGATCTATGAATTGAGTACATTGACCTGTTGTAAAATTTTATTCTATATTTGTACCAAAAAAAAAAAAAAATCCCATTCTGCTCACTGGTAATTAACATGGGTTGAAAATAGCTCTAAAAGTGTTTCTTTTACACTGTTAAAAATGTCTGTCTTGGTGAATCTTTAGAGAACTTGTCAACACATGCAAGGTGGCATTTTTCCTCCTCTGTGCACAAAAATGACCCCACCATCAGCAGAGCTATATTGTACTGAGCTGTTCATTTTGAAGTTCCACAGATTTGAAGAGAACGTGTTACCATCACTTCATATCTTTTGGTGGTCATGATAAATGAACTTGATTTCTCCACTGCATAGACTATATCCTTTAGTGCTGACATGTGAACCTTCAAAGGCTACATTCACTTTCAGGCTACCTGGGTCTAACTTAGGTGTCCAATTAGTACACTGAAGATTTATTTGTATTTGTCCTTCATATAATACTCATTCTTAAACAGCCTCAAGGCCATAAAGGCACCTAAATATTGTTTAATAATTTAGAAAGTTTCATTGGTTTCTGTTTTAGTTCCTCAGATCTCTGGAACTCTGTACATTATTTTTATCTAAAAAAAATTTTTTTAAAATTATCTCTCTGTTCAAATTGAGTAATTTCTATTGTTCTATCTTTAAGTTCACTCTTTCTGTATCTAATCTATTCTGCTGTTGAGCCCATACATTGTGTGTGTTTGTATACACACACACACACACACACACATATTTCAGTTATTGCCTTTTTTATTTGCTGAGAATTTTTATCTCTGCTGAGACCTTCTATTTTTTCATTTGTTTCAAGAATGTTTGTAATTGCTTATCGAAACATTTGTTATGATGGCTGCTATAAAATCCATGTCCTCCATTGATACTTGGGGTGAGAGGGAACCCTTGTTACTGGACATGGTGGGAGTTCAGCTCCACTCTTGGCTTCCATTGATGCCTACCCGGCTGGGATGTACAAGGTGTGCTGGTACTGCCCCAACGTGGTCTCCACTGACGCTGTGGACAGGGGTGGCATGGAGAGCTTTGTTGTCACCAGGTAGGAACAAAATTACCAGTTCCCTACTCAGCCTTCTCTAATATCACCCTGGTAAGGCACTTGGGGCACCTCTTTATAGCCTGGCAAGGGTAGAATTCTAGGTTCCCCACTCCGCCTTTGCTGGTATGGGTGGGGTCATGGTCTTTTCTCTGGCGTTTGGCTGGAGTGGAGAAGTTATTGTTTTCTCTCTTGCTAGGCTACTCTTCTGTTTCTCTGGCTAGAGAGAGCACAGGCCTTGTTCAGGGCTTCTTTTTGTCTGTATTCAGCATTTCCAGATTGCTGACTTCTTCAGCTGCAAGTCTGGGATATATGAGTTAACAAAAAAAACCTCAAGAATTCATTACAGTGTTGTTTCTTAGGTCCTAAGGTCCCTAGCCTGTCTGTCTTCTCCTCTCCACTTTTCAGAAATTTCCTGGTTTTTTTATATGTAATAACCAAGCATTTTATCTGCACTTAGCAGAAGGATATCTACTTCTTTGTAGAAGTGTCTCATTGATTTTTATATATTCTTCAATACACATGCAGACACATGATTGCCTCTATATAAAGCGTCTTAGCAGATCTTAATTAAATGGGTAGATGCCTTTTTCCTTTGCCAGACACCAGGAATACTCAGAAAAACAGGTTATAATCTTTATAGTCTTAGAGAGACGAAGGAGGTCACAGAAGTGTAAATGATCCTTAAAAGGTGGTAAATGGAGGCCTGTGAGGTGCCAGCGAGCACAAAGAGGCACTAGGTGCTGCTTGGCAGTGTCAGCAGCTTCCCAGAGGTAGTGACATTGGAGCTGGGACTTGAAGGATAAACTGGAGCATTTTAGGTGAAGAGGTGAGGAAAGGACATTCTAGTCTTTCATGGATGGATACGTTTTTGCCATTTTCCTTTTTACTGTTACTCCTGATATTTTCTTCAAGCGTCACTGTGACTAACTTATAATATGCATAACTATTTCCTGGTTTTTTTTGTTTTATTATAATAATCTCTCATTAGTAAAGGAAATGTCAGACTATGAATTCTGTGCTGACTTTTTAAAGGAAGTGGCATCCATATCTGTTCCTACTTAGCCTTTTTTTCCCAGTCGCTCTTATATACTATTTCTTTTTTTATTGTCTTGAAAGAGACCCTTCCTTTCTCTATGTCATCAATTTAAAACATGTGACTAGTCCCCACTTTCCCAATTTGAATGGTAAATTCACATGACCATATATGGAAATTCTTTCTCCTACTTTCTTTAATAAAGATTATTCCTTACTTCTCAAATGCTAAGCAAGACTTTTATTTATTCCTAATTTTACTGCCATGCATCTGGTCAGTTAAATGAGATAAGTAACTTCCATATAAAAATTTCATAGCTAGTCAGTTCATATGTCGCAGAGCAGATAACCAGATGGAACTTAAAAATATTTTCAAAAATTGGAGAAAAGAGGGCAAACTTTAGGAGGAGGAAGGTGAAAATTCAGTTTCTAGCAGGGTGAGTAAATATGTAGAGCTCTGTTAGTCCAGTTTGCCTGGTCTTGCTTAAGGAGATAAAAGAGACAAGGATGGAACTGAACCACCTGCTCCTGTCAGAGAGGCACTTAGCCCCTGCCTTGGTATTTTTCTGTCATTAGCTACAATAACTGTCCTGCCCTGCTCTGTGGGTACGTGCTTATCGAATAGAAACTGGCATTTGGACTTTGAAACTAAATATGATGACTATACTTCATGCCGAAGCCTATCATAGGAATTTTAATAGGTATTAAGTAAAATTTTATCATGGCTACAGTCCAAAGTCATTCTCCCTGATTTTTGGCCAGTCTAAATATTGTAAGGT